TGAGACATTAGGAAAGCGCTTTGGATGTATCTTCACATGTTTACGATACCGAGCAGTACACATCGAAGTAGCAGAAGACTTATCGACCGATAGTTTCATCAACACCGTCCTACGCTTTGTTGGTCGAAGAGGTGCACCTCGCATCATCTACAGCGACAACGGCACCAATTTCAAAGGATCAGAAGCTGACGTGATCGAAGCTTTGAAGTCATGGGACGTGGAAAGGATCCAAGGTTCGCTATCACGCAGAGGTGTTGAATGGGTGTTGAATCCCCCGTTAGCTAGTCATCAAGGAGGCGTTTGGGAACGCTTAATACGTTCAACTAAGAAGATTTTGCGCTCATTGGTCGGACAACGCGAACTAAATGACGAAAGTTTACGTACACTCATGGTAGAAGTCGAGAAAATAATGAACGACCGACCAATTACGCCAGTCTCAAGTGACCCACACGATTTAGAAGCACTTACCCCTAATCATATACTCCTTCTACGTCAGAACCCTTCAACGTCAGCCGGTGAGTTTGACAGATTGGACAAGTTCAAGGCAAGATGGAAACACGTTCAGATGTTAGCAGATACGTTCTGGGAAAGATGGAAAAATGAATATTTGCCCACTTTACAGGAAACTCGAAAATGGTTGAAGAAGATGCCCAATTTCAGTGTTGAAGATTTGGTACTTATGGTCGACAAGGATGTTCCGAAAGGATTGGTCAAGTAAGTGTTTCCCGACACTGAAGGAGTTGTACGTTGAGTGGTAATCCGAACAGCAGATGGCGTCTACCGAAGAGACGTGAGAAAGCTATGCCTCCTAGAAGAGAAACTGGTGAAATGCATAGAAGATCAGGAACATATTGATGAGTGAACGGATAAGTGACCAGTTGTTGCATAGTAACTAGTAGTATCATTAAGTAACTATTTCATTTAGATTGTTTATATTAAGATTGAAAGACTCCTCTGTCGTCTTTCGGGGGGGAGCGTGTACGAACTGTTACATGAAGTACATTGCTTGCGGGCACAGGAGAAAAGCGCGCAAAAACAGTGTCACGAGTTTTTATCTTTATCGAGTTTTGGTATTATCAGTCTGTTATATATTTGTATTGTTGATTATAAAGGAGCAAATAACGTCACAATAACTTGTAAGTAATCCTGTTTGTAGGATCGTTAAGTATCTTTACACACACTAATTTTTGAGTAAACTAACTAATAATGTAACATATTTTAGCAAATCTAGTGCTGACTAGTGCAGTCGTCAGTGCTGAATAAAAGTATTGTGAAAAGTCGAATTTACGAGAATTGAAGTTTACAATACTGTAGCAGTTTTTCAGAATTAAAATTCCATTAGTATAAACAGTATTCATGGTTGCTGTTTTTTAGGCATGATAGTTTGGTTCCATGTTTTGACCATGCTATTATGCAAGCATTGCAATTTGTACAGTATTTGTTAAAAATTCTGTTTCAAGCAAACGTGTTCTTTTGAAATATGATAATTAGCAAGGTTAGTAATTGTTTGCTTAACACAAGTGGAACTAATTTACTTGATTTAAGAAAGTAAATAAATTGCTTCCAAGAATTGATTTTCTTAAAACAAGAAAAAATAATTATGATGATCATTCTATATCCTTGAAATAAGAAATCAACAGCAAGAATTATATTCTCTTTTAGAACATTGCATTCATTATGCAAGAACTTTGTTCTTGTTTTAAGAATGTGATGTTCTTGTCAAGATTATTTGTCTCGCTATTTTCTTATTTCAAGAATTCTAAATTCTTTTCAAGATTTACCTGGCTTGTTTTTAGAAAATATATTCTTGGTAAGAATAATTTTTCTTGTTCCAAGAATTATATATTCTCGGCGAGAATAATATTGCTTAGAACGAGAATAATATTGCTCAATTTAAGAATTCAGCAAGAATTTTTTTAAAGAACAGCAAGAATTATATTCTCTTCTAGAACATGGCATTCATTATGCAAGAACTTTGTTCTTGTTTTAAGAATTTGATGTTCTTGTCAAGATTATTATTCTTGCTATTTTCTTATTTCAAGAATACTAAATTCTTATCAAGATTTACCTCGCTTGTTTTTAGAAAATATATTCTTGGTAAGAATAATTTTTCTTGTTTCAGGAATTATATATTCTTGGCGAGAATAAGATTGCTCAAAACGAGAATAATATTGCTCAATTTAAGAATTTAACAAGAATTTTTTTCTTTCAAGAATTTAAAATTTTGCTGTGTATATAGATATATAGATATATAGATATATAGATATATAGATATATAGATATATAGATATATAGATATATAGATATATAGATATATAGATATAT